GGTGGCAATTATAAGTAAAATGAGGTCATATGGAGACAAAATAACTGATCAAACTGTAGTTGAAAAAGTGTTAAGGAGTTTAATTCCTAAGTTTGATCATGTTGTGGCTACAATTGAAGAGTCCAAAGACATGTCAAACTTTTCATTTGATGAATTGATGGGTTCTTTGTAAGCTCATGAGGCAAGGCTAAATAGGTTAGTTGAAAAACATGAAGATAAGTCATTTCAAGTGAAGGGAGAGGCATTCGATTCAAGAGAATTTGATAAAACGGCAGGAAGAGGACGTGGCAGAGGTGTATTTCGTGGAAGAAGTCGTGGTCGAGGTAGAGGCAGAGGTTTTGAACAAAGGCATTTCACCAATGAGCAAAGTGGCTACAAAAGTGGCATCCAATGTCATCATTACAAGAAGTTAGAGCATGTAAAAGCAGATTGCAGGTACAAGGAGAAACAAGTGAATTATGCAGAAGAAATTGCGGAAGAAAGTAAATTATTCATGGCCCATTATGACACTAATGAAGTTCTAGGTGATGTATGGTTTGTAGACAGTGGCTGCTCCAATCATATGTCAAGGATGAAGGCGTTATTTAAAGAGCTTGATGAGACCCAAAAAATGAATGTCAAGCTTGGTGATAATAAAGAAATTCAGGTTCAAGGAAATGGCATAGTAGCAATCAAAACTAACCATGGTAAGTAAAACTTCTTCATAACGTTCAATTTGTTCCTAGTTTGGCACATAATTTATTAAGTGTTGGGCGATTAATGGCTAGTGGATATTCAATTTTATATGGAGCATGTGTTATTAAAGATAAACAATCAGGACAAACAATGGTTAATGTTCACATGACCAAAAATAGAAAGTTTCCACTTGAAGCCTCAAATGTGGAAAATTTTCCTCTTGTTGCTGGTGAACAAAATAACTCCAAATTGTGGCACTTGCGGTATGGACATCTTAATGTCAGGGGGCTAAAATTGCTGGGTCAAAAATGTATGGTTCTTGGATTACCAAAAATTGATTCTTTTGAGTTATGTGAAAGATGCATTTATGGAAAACCATTTCCCATTGGAAAGGCTTGGAGGGCTTCTACTTGTCTTGAATTAATTCATGCTAATTTGTGTGGGCCTATGAACACAGAATCATTGGGAGGAAGCCATTATTTTCTACTTTTTATTGATGATTTCAATCGCATGAGCTGGGTGTATTTTTTAAAGTACAAACCAAAAACTTTTGAGAATTTTAAGAAATTCAAGGCTTTAGTAGAGAAGCGAAGTGGGTCCTGCATAAAAGCTCTTCGTACAGATAGAGGTGGTGAGTTATTGTCTAATGAATTTAACCACTTTTGTGAAGAAAATGGAATTCACAGGGAATTAACAGCACTTTACACATCAGAGCAAAATGGAGTGGTTGAACGCAAGAATCGTACCGTGGTTGAAATAGCAAGAAGTTTACTAAAAGGCAAGGGACTTCCAAATCAATATGGGGCAGAAGCAATTACCACCTCAGTGTACCTACTAAATATTTCTCCTACAAAGGTTGTCTTGAATCAAACACCATATGAAGCTTGGAGAGGTACAAAACCCATGGTAAGCCATTTAAGAATTTTTGGTTGTATTGTTTATGCTTTAGTAAATTCTCAAAATCTCTATAAACTAGATGAAAAATTTGAAAATGCATTTTCATTAGTTATTGTCTTGAATCCAAAGCATATAGGTTATACAATCCTCTTAGTGGCAAAGTAATAGAGTTCAACTTGAAACCTCATTGAATGAAATGGTGAACCCAATACTAGCAAACTCAACAAATTCCTCTCCCTCAACTTCAAGTAGTAGCAGCCTAGCAAATTCACCAAGTTCATCTACCACAAATTCAATAGACAGTAGCCCATCTTCCTTGAATGAGTCATCTGATGAGACATCTCCAAGGAAATTAAAATCTTTGAAAGAAATCTATGAATCTGGTGCATTTGCCTTATTTGTCACAGATCTTACAAATTATGAAGAAGCAGTAAAAATGGAGGAGTGGCTGTTGATGATTGTGTGCCACTTTTGCTGTCATATTTTGTATTAATTATATGTATTAAATCAGTACATAGTATGGTTATTTTTGTGTATTAAAATGTCCATCAGAGTATGGTGATTTCAGTCAACAAGTAAGGTGTTGTTAGGTGGTAGTTGTTGACTAGAAACATGGTAGAAAACTATTGTAATATATATATGTTTGGAACCAGTCGAACTGTGCTGTAGCTGGTTATTTTTCATCCTAAATACAAGTCTTTCTCTTCCACTTTGTTGACATTATTCCATCAGTGGTATCAGAGCCACTTTGGCCTTAGAACACGAAGAAAGGAAGGGCAGACACAGGTGAGAAAATCAGAAAATAACCACATATAAACTGGTGAGTGTGAGTAATGGCCTCTGGTGGTTTCACAGCTCCTCTGCCTTCAATATTTACTGGAGAAAACTATGATTTCTGGGCTGCAAAGATGAAAGCATATTTGAGAGCTTATGATTTATGGGAAATCACAGAAAATGGAACTGAACCTCCACCACTTAGAGCAAATCCCACAATTGCACAGCTGAAGCAACAGAGTGAGGAGATTGCTAAGAAATTTAAGGCTCTTTCTTGTATACAATCTGCTGTCTCGGATGCCATTTTCACAAGGATTATAACTTGTGAATCTGCAAAAGAAGCCTGGGATAGGCTAAGGGAGGAATTTCGAGGCAATGAAAGGACAAGACAGATGCAAGTGCTGAACCTAAGAAGGGAGTTTGAAACTCTGAAGATGAAGGAATCAGAAATTGTCAAAGAATTTACTGATAGACTGATGAAGATAGTTAACCAAATTAGGTTGCTAAGTGATGACTTGCCAGACAGGAGAGTAGTAGAGAAGGTCTTGATCAGCTTGCCCGAAAAATTTGAAGCTAAGATCTCCTCACTCGAAGATTCGAGGGACCTGGCTAGTATGTCTTTGTCTGAGCTTGTCAATGCTCTTCAAGCCACAGAGCAAAGAAGATTGATCAGACAAGAAGAACAAGTCGAGGGAGCCTTGGTTGCTAAAGGAAAATACAAAGCACAAACTAGTTATGGGATGAAGAAACCATTTACTGAGAAGAAGGGTGCTGAATGCAGCAAGAATCCTGTTGAAAGAAAGAAGTATCCACCATGTCCTCATTGTAAAAAGATAGGAC